AGTTAAGTGGTCCTTTAAGAATTTAAGGGTAGGTTTCATCTCTTTAATCTCCAAATTTGGATTTAGGGAAAAAACAGAAGGTTTTACGTTCATATGTGATGGTTTAGGCTTTCTCGGTCGTGGTAAGCAGTGATCAGAGTCGTGCATGTTGATGGAGAAACGGTGGCATCGATTTGAGTATGGGAAAAGTTTGGCCGTGAGTTGGAATTTTGGGGGGAGTAAATGACAAAATGCGGGCGACTCATTTTGGTTTTCAGGGTAGGTTGTTGTAGTTAACAAAAACGTATGATTTATATTATAGTTAATGGGTAAATCACCTTTATATCCCCTAAATTACCCTTATCTTTTCACTTTGGGCATTAAATGGTGTTGAATTTCTAATTTCGTCTGGATTGTAGGCCCTTTTTCTTGAAGTTTTCCCTTTTATTTCATTTGTAATTACTCTGATTAGAAAAGAGAAAGCTTCACTCATACCCTTGTATTCTTACCATGTTTTTCCAGATTAGCCACTGATTCGAGTTGTTAGTTTTACTTTGAATTGTTGGGCTCATATGAAAATTTCCCATTTTATTTAGAAATTGCCTAGGCTATTAATAGGGTAAAATTAGGTCTTGGTCCCCATAGGTTAAGCTTTTTTAGGTTTCTAATTGTTTCTTTATATTTCATGCGTCTTTCATTTTGGTTATTCCTTATGTTGTTTTGAGTTTCATATTATTTTTACATTTAATATGTAATTTTTTAATTGACATTTTAGTCCCTAAATCCAGAAATTTTGAATTTTCATTCGTTGTACATCTGATACGCTGCTTTGAAATCTAATTTAGTCCTAAGTGTAAAGTGTTTAATTTTTGATATTTTAGACATTGGACCTTCAAGTTTTTGCATGTTGCATTTTAGTTGTGGATATGTTTGGGTTTATTATAGTTTAAGTCCATTCTATTAACCATAGGTTATTTAGTTTCATTATTTAAAGTGGCTTAGTAGTTGTGTTTTTATCTCGATTATTATTACTTTTGTAGTTAGGGGTAATTTATTATTATTTAACCTTGGTTTTAACAAGTATGATAAGTTTCTGAAATTTGCACTTTGAAATTTTATGGTTTGCTTTTTTATTTTAGTCATATATAATATATAATATTTTTAATACGCATATGTATATAGTTTATTAATATTAGTTGGAATACATTTATTTAATTTTTATTGTAAATGTCACTTTATATGATTTTTTTAATATTCATTCATATTTAAATGATTGCATTTTTAATTAAGTTTTGCATGGTGACCTCATTTGCATAACTCGACCTATTACATAATCGGACTAAGGGTAATACCTTTTTAATTTAAACTGTCTTGAGTGGCTTGTCTTAACTGATTAGAGGTCGTTCTGACTATTTTAAGTTAAAAGCGTATCCCGGAAGTGAAACAAAAAAATTGATTCGTCACTTAAAATTTAGGAACGAAATCGTTTATTTAAATTTATCGAGAAAAGGTTGTTATAGCTTTTAAGATATGGTCTCGATATTTGTAAATAATCGAACATTCTTTATCTTTCTAAAAGACTTGGTAATTTTAATTTAATTTATTTGAGTGTTTTTTTAATATTATTAAATTCACATCTTCGTTTTATGGGATCAAAAGTCAAATTAGTTCGAATTTTTAAAGTTCATTGCAAAAACGTTAATTAATCGACTAAGTACCGATAGGGCGTTGTGGGGTGATAATCCTTCCCCACATGTAACCGACTCCCGAACTCATTTTTTGGTAACGCATACCTTAATTTGTTGTTTTAATTAGAATTAATTATTATTTAAAATGACAGTTTTTTTTGGGTGCCCAATCACACCCTAATCAAAAATTGGTGGCGACTCTTCGGACCGTATTTTTCGATCGTAAAGGAAATCCAAATTTTTCGAAACGAGAGGTCTTTTAAATCGCATTTGTTTTTAATTAAAAATAAATTAAAAGAGATAAGTTAAAATTAATGTGGTTTTTTAAAATTTCACTTTCTCACTTTTAAGGAAAATCGTTTCGACAGATTGTAAGTAGTATATGTTCTAAATACTCTTAATTATTTGAAAGGAACGTTTAATCACTATTGTAGTTGCCGATGTTCGAATTTGTGACCTCTAAGAACAATAATATTTTAGTAAACTATTGTTTGTTAAATTTAAAAATTATTTAATTAACTATATTCATAGTCGACTCTCCCGTCCAAATTCGAGTAACGTTGGTTTTGTTATTATATTGAGAATTGTTAGTTTCAGCTGAAACCATAGGAATCACGACAATTACATGATACCCTTGTTGTTGGTCTGATCTCAACAGACTATCCGACTCATTTTCAGACATGAGTGGCCTTCAAATATAAATGGATTTATAAAAATTTGAACATACCCGATACTTATGTCATATATATATATATATATATATATATATATATATCTGACATAAATGGTGATATAATGAGGAAGAGCTTAGTATGAGATCGGTAATGAACAAGCTTTTCGAGAGGGAAAATGTCTTGAACACTAGTAGGCCTGACACAAATGATGATACGAACGAGGATTTGCTGTCTATTGAGAAGGACGATGATATGATGACCTAATAATTAATGTTATTTTCAGAGATTTAAATAGTTGTCTGTTATTTTAATAATGTATGTTATATAGCGATCACGGTACCATTTGATATCGTTATTGCATGACTGTGATACCCACAATCACTGTTATAGTGTCCGTTATGCTCGCAATCGTGATAAACATAACACAATAAAAAATGCGACCGCTACTATAATCTAAATCTATAATTGTTTCTAATACAAATAATCGAATAGCTAAGACCAGGGAGTCGGAAAAAATCTTCAATGCGGTACAATCTCATGTTCAATTCTCTTGGTTTTCATGGTCTATTAGTATGTATTGAGTTGAAGGGATAAAATATAATTAATAACAAAAATAGGAGGAGCAAAATCAAAATAAATCAAAATTTGAAGATCTAGATAAGTATTTATCTTTACATATCTTTTAATAATAAAAAATGGGGCAGTGGCTCCCTAGGACTGTACATAGCTTTGTTCTGTCCAGTGACAGATCCAGAAATTAAAAAGTGGAGTCCAAAATTTTATTATTCTATTATAAAAATTTTGAGTATGTAAAATTTCTTTTCCCCCTATTTTCATTAACAAATTGAAATGATTTAACACTTTTCTCGAAATAATGGGTGTGCAGTGGCTCCCTTATGAAACCACATACATCCGCACCTGGTCCTGTTTATTAGAGTTGAGATTATTCAAGGAAATACAAATTAATATAAGACTAAAAAAAAGCATAATAAAAAATCTGAAAAGAATCTTAACAAAATTAATTTAACGTAACTGGAAATGTTGACTTATACATAATATATTAATCAAAATGGCATAACCGACAAACTTATCTGATCGATACTTTTCCACTAATATATATACTTTCGAATTTAAAAAAACGTAAAAAATGAGAAGACTACAATTAATACTTTTCCACAAATATCGATACTTTCAAATTAAAAAAAAACATGAAAAATGAGAAAATGATATGTCAGTCGAATTTTATTGAGAGTGATATTTGATCAGGTTCAGGTTTGTGGTAAAAATCTTCAACGTGAATATGTTTCGTATCAGGTCGGGTGAACGATGTATGTTTCTCAAGTAAAGTCGTTCGAGTGGAAGGTGTATACCTCTCGGATTAGGTCAGATTGACCAATACTCAACCCGACCTATTATCATCTCTAGGTATGACGAGTGATTTTCTTTTAATTTGTTTCCGTTCGAATTGGTTTTCTTTATTTAATTTGCTTTTTCAAGGAATACATTTGATTTCAAATTTAGTTGCCGTAATACTATATTAAATAAATGTTAAAATATATTATAAAACAAAATATATAAAAATGTTAAGATAATTGAATTAAAAGTATATAAAAGCGAGTTGCTATAATACCCCAATTGTTTCCTTAATAAGTATAATTTTTCTGTTTTTAACTATTAAAATTTAATTTCATTAATTGATTAATTTGAATCAAATTCTATATATATATATATATATATATATATATATATATACGAATTACAAGAACGATATAAAATATATTTAAAAGAATGATGAACATGAAGACACTGCGTCATCAAACTCTGAACAAGTATATATACATATATATATATATATATATATGAAACTATGAACACCTCCTTGTTTATTACAATTGTTTCCAAAAGACTGAACAAACCGAATCGATTTGAGAGCTAGTCTCTTCTGGTTCTCTCTTCGTATCCAGTTAGTGAATTTGTATTTGTAACCTCTCTCGACCATTCGACCAGCCACCTTGGTCTTCCGGTTACGAAAACAATGTAACCTGTGCTCAGTCCTAGCACCACCCGCGTCCGTACCCCATCATTACAACTTTCCAAAAAGAGACTACTTTAAAACCTTCATGTTCCGCCACCAATGGTGTCGGTGGTTCGGCCGCCCCACAGTTGCCGCATTGCTTGGACAATGGTAGCCGCACAATCCCAAGTTATCGCTCTAGGAATGGTTATCGAAGGTGTCGAATTGATTCCCTTGGGGAATCGATCCGACAAGATTGTTGCTTGAAAGATTCAACACTACAAACGTCAAATTCGTCATTTGGGAAGGAATCCTGCCGTTGAGCTTGTTTGATGAATGATCTAATGATTCAAGTTCGACCAAATTTTCCGAACGATGCTGGGATCGGACCGGTGAAGTTTGTTGCGAGAGAAGTTGAGCATTTGAAGGGAAATAAGTTGTCCTACTTCCTCGGGAATTCGTCCCCGAATCGGTTGTTCGACAAGTCCTAGATACGAATGTATAGAGTCTTCGTCAATGCCATCTCCAATCTTTTCGTGGTTATATTCAAAGAAATGTAGTAATCCTTAGAGCTGATAAAATTGTCACTGACGTGGTAAACATATGGCCGTTGACGCCTCTCGATAGGTTTCACTGCCATTGCTCTCAAATTTCGGAAGAGTTTCGAGGGCAAGGTGCCTGTGAGCTCGTTTCCGGAGATAGATCATTCGCAATGCGGAGAAGTGTATAAGCTATGGGATGAGTCAACGATGAAATATTAGATCTCAATATAAGAACTTGACTTGGGAGTGAAGCTAACCAATGGGGAAACTTATCAGCTAAGTTATTGTTCCCTATGTTTAGAACCTGCAGTGACTTAGAATTAGCCAAGATGTGGTACAAGTCCTTCCAATTGATTGTTTTAAGGAAAAGATCGGGATCGTACCGTAGAAGTTGTTCATCTTCAAATCGACAAACGCAAGCAAGTAGCTGAAGTTCCGGATACATTCGGGTATAGTTCCACTCAAGTTGTTCCTGGACAGGTCGAGAACTGTGAGTTCACTCCAATTGCAGATGGAAGAAGGGATATTTCCTGTCAAATTATTCCCTGAGATTAAGAAATCATTGAACAAATGTGGATTCGGAGTTCGAAGAATCAAGCAAGTTGAGAGAATCTGGCATTGAAGCATGTTCGAAAGAAGGTCGAGTATCGCCAATTGTTGTCCCAGAAACTGCTCCAAAGTGGTCAGAAAGTTGAGAGAAAGGTTCAACGCAGTCAGATCTTCCCACCCTTGAGCCTCCCATTTTGAAATTCCACCAGATATCATGTTATTGGAAAGATCTAAATACTCCAACTTCCGGAAGAAATTCGGGAACTGCCTTACGCTACAAGAAGAGAACAACACGGCCTGCAGCCGAGGGAAGAAATGGTTCGCATCATTGCCGCTTGTGCTCAATGATAATAAACTATTATGGGAAAGATCAATAACTTCAAGACTCGAGAGTTTCGAAAGCTTACCAGACCTGATGATACCACTCAAGTTGTTTGATGACAATAGAAGTTCCATAAGGCGCACCATACCGAAAATAGATTCAGGGACTGGACCACTCAAGTTACAGGAAAACAATCTCAAAGATGTTAACTTGCTAAGGTTTTGAAAAACATCCGGAATCCGTCCTCTAAGCTCATTTTTAGACAAATCTAAGGAAATGAGTTGAGTGAGGTTCCCAAATGATGCTAGAATTGACCCTCTAAAACCACAACGGCAAAGGTCCAACCACTCAAGGCCACTACTCCAGTTTATCTTAGGGAGATAACCTCTAAGGGCATCGTTACCACCTAACCCTATACGTTTGACATTCAGAAGCCGAAAAATTTCAATCGGGAACTCCCCATGCAACAGACGTTCTTCGACACTCAAACGTTGTAACAATGAAGACAAGTTTAGAAATGAAGAAAGTGCAACACCGGACATGTCGACGGAGTCAAGCGCAAGGTTTCGTAATTTGGTCAAGTTTCTTGCAAGTGATAACTCCTTGAAAAGGTCATATTTTGGGACCTTTTCACTTAAGTTATTGAATGTCTAAGAGAACATTTAGGACCATTTAGATGCATTTAGGAGCATATAGTTGCATGTGGTGGAATTATGTTTGCCGCGCATTTTAATTTGTCATCAGTGCTACCTTATGGGGAAGGTGTTTGTCTAATTATGTGCAGGATTTGAGAGCAAGGAAAAGAAAAAGGAAAATGCCGTGGCATAAGGAGACTGCTGAGCAGAATGAAAATACCGAGTTGGAATGGCATTTCAATAGCACACAAAGTGAAAGAAGATATTTTCGAAGCTAGTTGTTCCCTATTTGCACGTGATCTCTACCACGCCGCCCTGCTGCAGATCTTGTCTGCTGCGGTAGGATCCTTTCGGGTGCCTAGATCAGTGTTGCCACGCCGCCCTGCTGTAGATCTTGTCTGCTGCAGTAGGATCCTGTCGGGTGCTCAGTCAACCACCCAGGCTGGACCATTGCCAGCTGCCCAGTAGGATCACTGTCAGCTCTGCCCGATCATCACGTGAATCAAGCATGATTTGGGGTATCTTTGGAATTTTTACACAAACCTTTAGGGTTTTTCTCCCCCTATAAATATATGATGAAGCCACAATGTTAAAGGACTTTAGTTCCAGCCATATTTGATCTTAAAAAGTTAGAGAGAGAAAGTCTCATCTTTCTCCGTCAATCCCACTTGCCGTGGCATTTCTCCTTGACTAGTAGAAGAGAGTGGCGTTCTAAGCATCCGAGAGGAGCTAGTTCGCTGGGAGCAGTCCTTGGTGGCCGAGGAAGGCATTTGGCAGTGCACGTTGAAGGCTTTTTCTCCTCCCCTTAGTACTTGCTTTTATATTTTGTTGTTGGGTTGTAAGGAACGAATGAATCTTGCTTTGTGCTTGTTGATTTCGAACCCCACCATGAACTAATCCTATTTGGTGAGAGTTCGCATGGTTATTAAGTTGTTATTTAATGAATGGTTGTTGTTTCATGCTCTATTCTGTTTTGTTTATGATGCTTAAAGCCTTGAGGTTGTAGGAGCTACGAGAGTAGCCTTTCCTTAGGAGGGTTCATGAGGTTCGAGAGAATGCTTTGGCAATTTATCTTTAGTCTTCGAGAGAAGCTAGTGAGGAACTACATAAACAACGGGTTCTAGATAGTAACTAGGCCTAATCCACCTTAGAGATAAGGATAGGATTTCATTCGACTAAAAGGAGTTGTGTATAAATGATAGGTTAGATGTTATGCTGTCGCAAAAAGGTATGCCGAGACATATTCTATTAGCTGAGTCAATAGATCACTGCTTGGGCTTACGCCAATCGGTTTTGCCAGGGCATCTTTAGTCTGTCGAGTCCCTTACTAGAGATAGCATAGGGCACATCAGTAGACTTTGTCGGGCAGGGTAAGCAGAGAAGAAGCACCATTCAGAGAAATAGACTTAAGTTTTCCTTGTGTCTCCCATCACTCATTTCCATTACTGCTTGTCTTGTGAGAAAGCTAAAGTCCTACATATATTAATCTAGTATTTGCATTTTTATTTTGCCTTGACATTTCCATTTGTTTTCACGTATCACAATTTAATTTGCCACGACATATCCATCTGCTACCACACTATCACCACTCCATTTCCACTACGTCCATTCCATTTTGCCACTGCATTCTCATCTGTATATACCATAACTAACTTTACTTAGGTGACAAGTAAAGTGCCTTGACAAACCTATTTGATTTCCCCAATTCTCTGTGGAGACGATACTCTACTTATCACTTTATTACTTGTTCGATTGTGTATACTTGCACACATATCCGCATCATATTTTAGTACTCACAAATAGCGGACAAGTTTTTGGCGCCGTTGCCGGGGAATTGGCAACTGGAAGTTAATTAGTTTTGTCATAGCATTTTATTTTACTTGTTCAATTTTTTTGTATAGTTTTACTTGTTATTTTCCTTGTCTTTTTCAGGTTTTATTTTACGTACTCAAAGTGCTCCAGCAAAGATGTATCAATTGGAAATCAGGAATAGGTCAAGAGGAATATCAACATGCCGAGGCAATTCCGAATGCTCGGAATGCAGCTAGGCCTCGTAGTATTCGAGATCATTTAAATATTATCATGGACAAACTAAATCCTGGAATTTTGGCACCCATGATTCAGACAGCCCACTTTGAGCTCAAACCGGTTATGTTCGACATGTTGGACTTTATTGGACAGTTTGGTGGTGCTCCTCATGAGGATGCAAGGCAACATGTTCGAGCATCCAACTCAGCATGTCTATTATGCCACGGCAATCACAATGAGAGTGACTGCCCGACCAATCTAGAGTTCATCAACTTTGTAGAGAACTACAATCGAGGTAACAATAACCCCTATTCTAACGATCTTGGATGGTGTCAACATCCAAACATTTTGTGGGGAAATCAAGGAACCAGCAACTCTAGTCAGCCCGCTAGGCAGCAGAACTTCAGTGACTCCCAGGGTTTTCAACGAATATGCCATGGCATAATTCTAACGAGGGAGTACCATATCATCTAACACAAGCTCTTTGGAGGCCACGATGTAAGATTTTATCGCAACAATGAAGACCATGCTGCAAGACCATGCGACCTCTATAAAAAGTTAAGAAGCTCTGCTTCAGAGCCACAGTTCGTCGTTGAGGGCTTTGGAGGGTCAGGTTGGCCAAATTGCCACGACATTACATTTTTGCCTACATGGCAGTCTACCTAGTGATACTGAAGTCACTAAGGATCAAGACATGGAGCATTGTGGTACATTCAGCTCAATGAGTGGCATCAAAATCTATAACGATGCTAAGTTTGGGGGGAAGACACTCGGAGAGCCCGATCATGAGATTATGCATGAAGATCCGAAGGTGCAAGAAGATTCACATTCACTGAAAAATAAGGATGAGGGTTCGAAGAAACACCAATGAAGAGAAGAAAATTTTGCCACGGCAAAGAAAAAACCCTATCAGTAGGAGTTGATGACCAAAAGAAAGCTGCAGAATTTTGCCGCAACAATTTTATGCAGATAATCACTTCAATCTTGATGAAGAAGAAGAAGAGGAGCTTGAGGATATTCAAAGGAGATAGTAAGTCTAGCTCACCCTAGCTAGGGTATGAAATTTGAACCTTTGAATCCTATTGAATTTACTCATCCTAAACCTCAACTAGCTGCTCATTTTTCTAGGCTAGAAATTGTGAAAGAACTAAGGAATGAAATGGAGATTAAAAAAAATTTCACTAATGAGAAATTATTATTTTCCGCGTAATTTCGTGGTATGCTGACATTGTCAAATTTCTCGTTAGTGTTGTTTTGCTTCCTTACTTGACTGGCCTAGGAAAGAACAAGGTACACGATGGTGGCTACTGGCATAGAGACCTCGACCTCTCCAACAAATACTGCCCAAGTGATTTCAAGTTGCCACAGCAAAAAGGAGAAAAGAGATCCCATTCCATTACCATTCAACTTCATGCATAGAGCACTTTGAAGGAGAGAGGACTATTGCAAAGGTCCTAAAATTTAGATGTGAAAGACCCGAAATGCCAAGGCAATTTGTTTTTAAGGCAGAACTGTTATATGTGTGGGGCATTTTGGTCTACACTGGTGCTCCGATCGAGCGTGACAAATCTGCACTTTTATTTGACGATGTCGATACCGGCCAAGCATCTTGAAGATGTCGTGACATTTCAGATTTACTCTTGTGCATAAATAATATTTTATTATGCTATCGGCCGCCCCAGAAGGTCCTAACACTCCTCCAGCCGTACCCGCGTATGACTCCGAACATTCCAGCCCTGCTAAGCTCCGCAAGCGCACTCGCCGTGCGACTGCTGCACCACCACCATGAAGCCAAGGTACCTTGCATTGCATTGCATTCATAGCATGTAGTTTCATTTTCTTAGATTTAGTAAGCATTGGGGACAATGCTCTCTTCAAGTTTGGGGGAAGTAGGGTTCTCGCATCATTGTATGATAGTATTAGTAAAATGAATATGCCATGACATTAGTAAATATAGAATTAGTTTTCTGGAATTAATTGAGGATGCCGATGATGAAGAATTCTTGATGGCTAGGATAGAATGTACATGACTGGTTGAGGATGATAGAACTAACTCTAGGACTTGCTTCTTTGAACCCTTGAACACGAGTGTATGTTTTCCATGCTTGAGAAACTTAGAAATTTTTTATAAGAGAATTCTTAAATGTCGTGGCATAAAACTGTGAATGATGAAAACCCCACATAAAAAAAAGAAAAGAAATAGAAGTTATAAATAAATGCCTTGGCATATCTGTAGAGGAACACTCCGCTATGTCTTGGCATATGAGTGAATGAAAGTAGTCACAGGATAACTCTACCTGACTAGCTCGGGGGTGAAAGGTATGCTCCCTTTCATCTAGAGTGTGGGATGGTAGAGTGATGGGATGACTCTCCTCGTAGCAGAAGTAATAAAAGAAAACAAAGGGGAGTAGTAATTTGAAAAGTCATGGTAAATTGAGAAAGCTTGAGTAGAAAATTTTTAGGTTTGTTAAACATGGACTGGATATAAACACGCACATACCCACATAAAGAATCTTGCCCTAGGGGACGGTACTTGATTTCTCAAACTAGTCTAGCATGTTGAAGCAAATGCTGAGGGCTGAAATTTTATCCCATATAACTATTATGCTTCTGAACTTGTCATGGTATTTTTGTTTTGCTTATCATTATCCATTGCTTGAGGACAAGCAATAGCTTAAGTTTAGGGGTGTGATAACTCCTTGAAAAGGTCATATTTTGGGACCTTTTCACTTAAGTTATTGAATGTCTAAGAGCACATTTAGGACCATTTAGATGCATTTAGGAGCATATAGTTGCATATGGTGGAATTATGTTTGCCGCGGCATTTTAATTTGTCATCAATGCTACCTTATGGGGAAGGTGTTTGTCTAATGATGTGC